TCTACTGGACCTGGAAGACTGAGGGTGCTCCTGAGTGGGACATGCAGCAGCAACTCGCTGGCGGTGTCTTCCCCAACCCTATCACTAGCCGTCAATTCCCCGGCCAGTGCTAGGCACTACTAGTTTTGTGCCTTTTTGCTCTTGTTTTTCAAATGTAGCATGGAGCGGGCTACTGATTCTGACATGCTTTGGTTTTTCTCTGTCCAACTGTTTGTCCAGACTTGATTCCGGACCTGGTTCATACATATATGTTATTCTTTAATTGTCTGCTGGGCTTGCCTATAAGCGAGTTGGTTCCTCGTGGTGTTGTGGTGTGCTTCATTTTGGGGTTTGGCTACATAGTTAGGTTGTGGAACTGGCAATACAACTGATATTCTTTTGCTTGGAGTCCTTCGCTCTTCCTGGCCTCGGCAGATAGCCAGTTCCAAGGTTTACCTGCTAGTTTTGGTAATCCGTACATGTGGTGCCTACCGGGGCAGCCTTAATTTTATCCCAAAGTGACCTGCATGGTACCTCCAGGGCTGTTGCCGCTCAGGAAAAGGCCGTGTTTTGTTGGGACTTGCTTTTTCCTTCTTTGAGTTCTCTTCCTTGCGAGAAATAAGGTAAGTGTTTATCGTAGATCCCGAAAAGAAAAATGACACGGGAAATCACCACTGGCCTTTGCATCCAGATAATTCGCAATGTACAAGAATTAGAGCGCAAGATCTACTATTCGTCGATTTGAAGAGATATCATATGTATTGGGATATGTAGCTGGGATTCTGAAATGCTAAAAGTGGAATAGGTATGGACTGGACCTGGCGGCCATGCAAGTAGAACAATATGAGGGCGTAAGAGGCATGTACAATGTAATGGTGGCAATGCGAAAGGAAAGTGTGCCACTGGTATCGAAATGAGCAAGGTCTTCTCCCTTAACTCAGAGCAATCCAAGTGCTCCAAACGCCGCAACAACTTCAGTGTCGACATTGACTAGCCACTCATCCTGGAACCGCTGCGCCCCACCGCAGCCAGTAATAACCTCTTGCAGACGATGGCGCACAAAGTCTCGGATCGTGAAGCGATGGATTGCATCGCCAGACTGCCAGTCACGACGACGGATGATCTCAGGCGATTCGACTTCTTGGTTGCTTTCTGGCATCGCGGTTGCTGACCCCGCTGGTGCGTTCCAGCAGACCAAATAATCGGCATTGGGGTCAGTGCCACCGTCTGCTAACTCGGTGATGATATCTGTCCATACGCTCAAGTATGATTGTAGGTGAGAAAGAATGTAGGCAGGGGGTGGAGGGGGTAAAGACGGATCGAGTGGCTCTCCTGGCAGGGCCAAGAGTTGGGTGAGGGCAAGTACGTGGAGTTTCTTTTGGTTGATGCTGCCAATGTTGTCGTAGTGCAAGAACCATTCGGTCAGGATCCACGTCAGGGATTGTTCTTCGGATGAGTTGGTCGCGGCGGCGACTGATGAGGCTAAAATGGTAGGGCTAGCCAGCGCAAGGCGCGCCAGCACAGAGTAGTAATCGCTCTCGACGACACCGACCACAGGCGAGGTCTTTCTGTTTGGGCCAGATGTCTGACTCGCTTCATGGGCAGAGTAGAGGCCTTCTAGCAGGGATGCAAGGAATGAGCTGTCCAGGAGGGATTGGGAGATGACGCCATAGGTTGCTTCGCTACCGCCGTCGACAGTCTCAGCACCACGAAGCATCAGATCAACAAGTCGAGGTATCACACCGAGGCGTTGCTTGGTTGTGGATTCGAGTAGTGATTCAAGGATCACCAGGATTTGGAAGCGGAAACGGTCACTGAGGATCTCCTGCGGCGCAAGGAACACATAAGACTCGAGGATGTGAATGGCCTGCGGAGTGCTATCGGTTGCTGCTTCAAGAATGGGGAACAAAGACGGGAGGAGTGATATGATCTCTGGTGAGGCAGGAGATGGCGTAGCCTGGATTATGGCATGCCAGAGATCCAAGGCCTCATCTAGGAGGTAAACAATGGTTTCCTTGGCGAACAGTTAGGCTAGGTTGAAATGCACAGCATGATTCACACGGGACTTACCGAGCCGGGTTCTACCGAGCTTTGGATCAGCGGAAGAATAAGAGAATGATATCTAACAGACTCCTGTCCTAGCGATTGGATAAGGGATGACAGCAAAGTCAAGATAGCTTGTTTCATCAAGTGTTCTTCGCCGGAGCTTTCCCATAACGGTGGGAGTAAAGAGATGATTCGATCGGAGAAGGGGGTGATCTAACATCGTGAGTTACGCAGCCGCTAACGAAAACGAGGCAACAACTTACCTGGTCTTCCATCTTGACCACCACCATGCGGACCGTTTCCAAAAGCCCCATCTTGGTATCCGAGGATTCGACTTCTTGAACGAGAGACATGAGACTCTCCAAGATGGTAGGCGCAAATGACATAAATGCATTGGGCGAAAATTCGTATGAGTCAAGTACACTCCGTAGTTGCCGACCGGCGGTGATCCGGACAACCAGGTCGTTCAAAGGATCATGCTTGCCGAGTAAATGCTGGAAAATCTGGTAAATTGCGTTCATGTTCAGTTCGCCTGCCTTCACCGGGACCCACTGGCCAAGCACGAGCGCGATTCTTCTCCTCAGAAGCTTGTACTCTGGTTCCTGAGACTGGACCTCGGCAACCATGGTATGCTCCAAGAATGCATTGAAGTCCAGATGATGTTCAAGACTGGCCGCAGCCAAGCCAATGGCAGAATACAATGAGTCTTTCAACAGCACATTGTGATTGTCGGTTCCTAGAGCATACATGTTAGAGTCGCACACATTATATAGCCCATCAATAACTTACTCGCGAAGGTATAGAATACCGTGAGCAGACGTGGAATCAGTAAATCCTTGAAGTGAATCACAAGATCAAGGAAAAGCTTTTCAGAGCATGAACGGATTGAGAACTCCCAAGCGTCAGCGTTCTCTTCTTCCCGCTTCTCCCAATCCTCCGGTTCTTCTTCCCAGTCTTGAAAATCGATCTTGCGGAACCTGAAGAACTGTGTGACGAGGAGTTCCATGGCGTTGACCACAAATTCTTCGGTAAAAAGTTGCGTCTTGACGAGCTGAACAGATTGCTTTCGCTCCTCCTTGTCTTCCGGTGTCTGGTATTTGAAAGTCTGGGCAGGGTTGAACGCCATTTTAGCGCATGCACGAATCAAGAGCAGAGCCCGGAGGCCGATTTTCTCAGTCAAGGATTTCCCTTCATCTTCGCCCCCAGCACCAAGGCTGTCATACTTCTCGCCAAGTTTGACGACTAATGACCAATACGACTTGACAAGCGAGATACTATCTGGCAGCAATGCGAAGGATGCGGGGTGTGTCTTGGCCATTTCAACATGCAACTTCGACATCTGCAGCAAATGTTTCTCCATAGCCCGATGAATTGGCTCAGGTAGATTGGCAGACCCATCCACGAGAGAATGGAATTTGCTAAAGTGCGAATGGGTCAGCTCCCAGAAGCCCTGTACTTCTTGGCTACGACTCGGATGTTCAAAGCCAGCAATGATCAGGCGCCTTAGGACCTTGAGAGACACCAAGCTTAATTCAAGCGTCTCCAGCAACTCCCCCTCGCTGGCACCACCCTGGTCCAGTATCGCCCCCCATTGGTTGATCTTATCAACATAAATGCCCCCCAGTAACTGGAATATCTCAGGCGACGCGGACTGAAGATTGTGTCGCGTTCGTTGAATTCGTGCCGTGGATAATTCCTTGATTATTTGTAGCAATATGAGGAGAGTTCGAGGAAGCTGGAGTGGATTTGCGCCAGGTTGGACGGAGGATCGGAGTGAGGAAATGATGTACGAGATTGCATCCGGCCTGATTGAAATTAGAACGAGAAAACACTTAGCTGTATCCTGCCATACCAGTCATGAGGGAACTCAAATCGCATGATTTTGGCAATCATCAGCGAGTTATGGAGAGCGAGCAGCGGTGCAGGCTCAACGATTCCTGCCGCAAGGGCGCGGGTCTTGATGTGTTCTTTTTCTTCCGGTTTGATCGCACTTCGGCAAGTGTTAGCATGTCCTCATCTAGGCAATATCCCAATCACGTACTTTGGTGCTGTCTTGCGCCAGTATTTATCAATGCCGTTCTTCAGTTGGATGATGGCGAGATATCGAACTTCATTCGGTACGGTGTGGTCAAGAAAGACGTCCTGTGCATTGTAAAAGCTGTTATTAGGTGAAGCAACAACAAACAAGACTGTCAACTGATACCTGTAGAAAAGAGTAGTACATGCCCTGTTTCTCCCAGTTCTGGAGCTGTTTCGTGCCCGTCTGAACTTGCTGCTGAGACGAGCTTGCTGCAAGTACTAGTGTATTGAGCACATTTTGAGGGCTGAGTGGGTTGGTCTCACCCTGTGCTTCGATGGCGAAGGTCATCGCGAATAGCGCTATTGATCGACGCGTGAAAAAAGAAACTGCAAAGCCTGTATGTAGTAGTACTGCCAATACAAGCACCTAGTCAGAGTCTCATGCAGTGCCCTGGATCATTAGACATTCATGAAATGAACTCTGGGTGAGTCCCAAGATGTTAATTGACCAACAAACTGACATGTCTCGTCGGAGCTACCCTCTAGCATAAACTCCCCGCCTCCGGAAGATTAATACTCCGGCCCGCCGAACCCTAGGGCTGGACCCTAACTTCTGTCCCAATTCAGATCTGCTGCTAGGGCTCCGGACGGACATTTCGAGCAATGAAGTCCAGCTTCAACCAGTTTCTTCATGTTGTTATCGAGCTTGGATCGATACCGGCAATTTGGTTCACCTAATTTTCCTCATCTTCCTCCCCGTGACATACGTATGATGCAGCATGATGCAACCTCAATTCCTAACATGAAGTGAAGTAGGTATGATGTGGATGGGGCGATGTATATAAAGCGCAATTCGGATCAATAGAAGGCAATATCGGAGCTCAAATCTATCTTAAATCACCCACCTATCAATTTATCTACATATATACTACAACATATTAACATCCTCGAACAACATGCCTAACACCGAAGAATTGAAGCATGTAGGCTTCAATACTGAGAGGGACCTGAACTCCCACCAGGCCAAGCAGGGTCGCAGCAAAAAGAGTGACTCAAGTACGTGAGGAAGCCGGTCTTAGTCGGTGGCATTTGTCTAATAACCATTCAAGCTGTCGAGTCAGGTGTTGACGAGATGGTCAACCAGCGATTCTCTGAACCCACAAGTGTGAAGTACGGCCCCGGCTCGACTGCCCAAGACAGCGACCACCGTGTGATTCCCGAAGAAGAGGGCGGTGTCCGTGATGACCGCAACAGGTACGCCGTAATTGTTTCTCCGTTGACCGTTAAGCTTTCACACGGCTAACATTCCGTCCCTTCAAGACTTGCTAGGGCAAGTCAGTTCGAGGGCCCTGGCGGCCCGAGAGACTGATGTCGATATCTAGACCGAGGACCGTGGTAGTTACCAGGATACGAAGCGTCGCCGAATTGACCAGTAAGAATACATGTAAATGATACCTGATGACCTGTAATATAATGGAATTTTCATAATGTTGTTCGAGACTCGATCTACACCCGACCAACGTGGGCATCAGAGTTATGTCATGTCGCATGGTTTGGAATGAACCTCAGCGAACAAACCTCAACGATGTTACCTTCCCGACTAGGACAATGGATAAATTTCGAAATAGGCCCCGCACGTGTCCACTCGATCGTCTTATATGAAAGTTAAGGATCGCAGGAGAATTATCATTCGAATTATCTGCTCAACGGGAATTCTCATATTCCGATTCTTCTCAAAATGGCCAGTGCTGGCTTTATCTTTGTACACCCCGACAGCCACTCAGATGAGAAACTGCTCCAGTAGGCAGTCTCAAGATGCACCTTAATATTCGACCCAGACCAGTACTAGTATGTCGTATGTATGCATGGACTCCCGGGGGCCTGCGGATATACTTACATAAAAATACCTGTGTTCCAAGTGGGTTTCCTCTACCACTTCGAGGTCCATTACCCGAGGTCTGCTTTATTACTCATCTGTTGTCCATTTGGGAACTGAGCACGCCCCTAGATATAGCTCAGTGATTTGCCAAGGCAGCCCCGGGCGTTCCCCACTCACTAAGCGTCGGGCTAAGCATCCTTGGAAGTCAGCTTATCTCCCGAGGTCAAGAACCTTGCACCTGGGCACGCTAGAGTCCTATAGTTCGCATCTTCGGTTCAATCTGTCTCACTAACAGAAACTATAAGAAACCAAGTGCATAAACCCCAGGGTACATACATCTACGGGTGTCCATTACTGTGTACTCTATGTGCGTAGGTAAGAGTGGGATTTTTATCGTCTAAAGTTGCTGTGAGGGGAGAGCCCTATGTAGAGGAAACCTCGGGACGGGCCCCGGACTCCGGGGCCGTTGCCATGGATTAGCTAGTCGGCTAAGCATTCGCCTTGCGCTTGGCCCGGCCCCTCATTTTGAACCGATGAACTCTTAGGCCAATCAGAGAGCTCCGTTTCTCCATGTGCCCGCATCATACAGATGTTCTACCTAAACTTCAACTCAGCATCAGGTACTCCGTACAGAGTGTGGAGTACCTCAATGAGACATAAGGAAAGCTGGTAAAGTCACAAGCCCTTGTGTACCTGTTAGGTATACCTAGGTACCTTCCTCCAGCCCTGAGAGTCTTTCTCCGATGTAAGATGCACGTGTTGTGACCCCCTTACCTTCCATACATATTCTGGCATTCCTCTTGACGATCTTTTCTTCTTTCTTCTTTCTTACCATCCTCATCAATCTTGGCTTGCCTCAGTCTCATCTCATCAGCTACATCAATCCTTTATTGATTCTCTGTGAGATCCATCAAAATGAAGGCTGTTCTCGCGGTCTTGATGGGAGTGGCTGCCCTGGCAGTCGCTCAGACAGCTACTACCTCTGAGCCCGCTCTTGCGGACATTCATGCGGCTGCGGCAACTATCAAGCCGGAGGTTACAGTCTCCGATGTCAAGGGCTTGGCTTTTGATCGTTTTTATCAGATCTGGCTGGAGAACATTGTACGTGACAAACCCCCAAAACGTTCCTGGAGTACCTGAGACACCATGACTAACGGGACTCATAGGACTATGACGATTCCGCTGCAGATACCAACATGCAGTGGCTTGCTTCTCAGGGAATTCTCTTGTGAGTTTGAACTTAGACATTAGTAACATGAGCCATTCTGATGTTCTTTAGGACCAACTTCTATGCTGTCACTCATCCTTCCGAGCCCAACTACTGCGCTGCCGCTGGCGGTGACACGTTTGGAATGGATAACGACGACTTCAAGCAGATACCTGAGAACATTTCCTCCATCGCTGATCTGCTTGACACCAAGCACATCTCGTGGGCTGAATACCAGGAGCATATTCCCTATGCTGGTTTCCAGGGCTACAACTACTCTAACCAGGAAAATTATCACCCTGATTACGTCCGGAAGCACAACCCGATGGTGCTTTACGACTCTGTTGTGGCCAATGACAGTCGCGCACGTTCCATCAAGAGCTTTGATGACTTTGAAAATGACCTGCGTGACAAGAAGCTTCCTCAGTGGGCGTTCATCACTCCGAACATGACCAACGATGCGCATGACACCAACATCACTTTCGCTGCCAAGTGGGAGCGTCCTTACGTGGCCAAGTTGCTTGAGAACGAGTACTTCTACAATAACACTCTCCTCCTTCTGACCTTCGATGAGGACAAAACCTACACGAACGACAACCGTATCTTCAGCGTTCTCGTTGGTGGCGCCATTCCTGAACACCTCAAGGGGACCAAGGACAACACCTTCTACACCCACTACTCTAGCATTGCTAGCGTCTCCGCCAACTGGGGTCTTCCTTCCCTTGGTCGCTGGGATTGCGGTGCCAACATTTTCGAGATTGTCGCCAACAAGACCGGTTATGTCAACTACGAAGTCGACAAGACCCACCTCACGCTTAACCAGACCTACCCTGGTCCTATGTCAATTGGGGACAAGTCTATTGGCAATACCTCCACATTCACTCCCAACTGGCCGGTTCCCATCACTGATGCCAATGAGAAGTGCTCCGCTGGTCACGGTATCCTGGACGCCGTCAAGAAAACCTATGGACACTTGAACGCGACATACGACACCAAGCCTTACCCCTGGAATGCCGAGACTCACTACAATGACAAGGTCACCGCCAAGCGGTCAAATGATACCGCGACCAAGACCAACTCTACAGCGGAGGACTCCGGCGACAAAAGCGCTGGGGTTGCTGCCAAGGCTCCCATCTCTACTGCCGTTCTCGCAGTCCTGCTGGCCGTCGCTGCCTACTCCTTCTGATTAAGCTGTTCTTCGTTCATTCTTACTAGTCGGCCGTGCGTTTCTGTGGTCTTACGATTCTTTATCTTCCGGAAACTTGCAGACGCGGTCCCGATTGACTGGGAAGGAATGTTTTCTCCAAATTTCGGAGATGTAAAACACGAACAGCAATCTTTATCTGGAGGCTAATATCTTAATCTTTAGCTATGAAGCTATGAATCCAAATTGAGTCTTTATCATTCTCATATTGCTGTTCACATTGAAATACCACTAAAATAACGCATAATTCCCATAGAATGCCCGTCATGTAGCTGGCCACCTTTTTACATCTATCCGGGTGTCGGATACTGCCGAACAATTCATCTTCTTCGGTAGAACCAGGTACCTACATATGCCTGGTTTTATTGTACTTGATTCTTTATGAACCCGAAATCCACGTCCATTATCAGTTATGTCTTCAGTTGGACCAGTCAATTATCACAAACGTGTTGTCTTTATCAGGATACTCTTGGTCTCAAGGAAACTGTCAAGACTATACAAAAACCCTTCCCGGCCATTCCCACTCATCTACCCACCAAAAGCAGTATCCCTGGCATTAGTCGGGCTAGTGCAGTTCACACCAACAGTGCCTGCATCCAAAGCCTTAGCCAAACGAACGGCACGATCAAGATCCTTGGTAAAGACGGCAGCGTACAGGCCGAACTCCGAATTATTCGCCTTCTCAATCGCTTCAGTCTCGGTGAAAAAGGTATTGATAACAACAACCGGACCGAAGACCTCCGCTCTCATCAGCCGCAAGTCCTCACCAACACCCTCAAAGATAGTCGGCCGCACAAAGAACCCATCATTTGCATCACCGCCGAGCCTGAGCGTTCCGTCCTTTTTCCCGATAGCAAGGTATTCTTTGATCCAGTTATACTGCAGCAGATCAATCTGCGGACCATGCGAGGTAGCAGGATCGAGTGGATCACCCATCTGGACAGCAGCAAACTTCTCACAGAATAATTTAATGAACTGTTTAGCCACTGACTCGTGCACATAGATCCGTGAGTTCGCCGCACACACTTGTCCACTATTAAACTGGATACCGAATTGTGTCTGCGCAACAGCTGTCTCCAGATCCGCGTCTTCGAAGAAAATCGCCGGTGATTTCCCACCCAGCTCCATGTGCACGTGCTTCATGCTTGACTTTGCAGCTGCCTCCTGGATCTTCTGTCCCGTTACCGTGGAGCCAGTGAAGCTGATACAGCGGACGGCCATGTGCGATGCCAGTGCCGCGCCGGTAGGGTTGCCGAAGCCAGATATGATGTTGACAACTCCAGGCGGAAAGCCCGCTTTCTCAATTAGTTTGGCTACATAGAGAGACTATACCGAGTGTCAGTTTGCACGGTGAAGTGATATGCAAAAGATATTGCACAAACCGTCAACGGTGCCTTCTCACTGCTCTTCAATACAACTGTACTGCCTGCTGCCAGCGCTGGCGCCATTTTCCCGGCAAAATAATAAGCGGGAAGTTCCATGGGATGATAAGTGCTACCACACCATATGGCTGCTTGACGGTCAGATTTAGGTGGTCCGGTGTGTTGAGGCTGGCGGTCCCCTGTGCGGTCCAACCGCCACCAGCGAAGTACGCAAAGGACTCAGCTGCCAGACCAGCGTCAACAAACTGTGAAACCGGTCGGCCAGTGCAGAGTGTCTCTAGCTTCGCCAGCTCGTTGTTTGATTCCAAGAGAGCTGAGATAGTCTGCGTAGGTATGCGCCTCGCTTGTCGGTGCCCAGATCTCGCCAGGCGGGGAAGGCTGTGCTGGCAGCGGTAACGGCATCCTCCACGTCCTCTATGTTGGCTTCTCTTGGTAAGAGAGTAGATGTTAGCAGTATGTTAGGTTTTTGCGGACAAAGGGACACACCTTGCGCAACGACCTCTTTGGTGTATGGATATACCACCTCGAATGCTTTGTTACTAGACGATGCTCGAAACTAAAATGGTTAATACCTATTTTGCAATTCGAGGGTCGTAAGTGTAGTTTATCCCTACCTCGCCGTTAATGAACAGCTGAGTCTCGATAGATTCATTCACTGTAGATGCCATAGTAGATAGCTGGACGGATTTGACAATAACTAGCCAAGGAAAAGCACAGCTTTAAGCAAGAGCCCAATTCAGCACTGGACGATGGTCTGATTTATAAACACGCCAGCAAAGCATGACCGACTTCAAGCTTTCGATTGGGCCTGTCATTCCAAACCCAACCATCGTATCTTGGACCCAAAGCCAAGGACACCTCCAACGTCAGTTGTCATGGATTTTATTGGGCAACGTGGTTGAAGTCGTACACAATCATGTACAAAGCTGACTCGCATGGATCGATTGAAATGGCTTATGTTGGATGCCCACATATCTGTGTATCTGTGTAACGATACCACCAGCGGAGAGTTCAGTAATATGACAAGTGACTGTTCACTCGATTCAATCAATAGTAAGCCTTGGTCATGGATGCCTTTGTCAAATTCGGTGGCTGGGATTGACGTGCACGAGGGCATCTCCGAGTGGCCTTGTGAGCCCACCACAACGCTTCTCAATAGAACGTTGTATTTAGACAGGTACATATTAGGTCCTGCTTGCGTCACTAAGAATATATATTATCACTACTCACAATGTCCGAAAGAGTACCGGAAAAGTACAGTCACGTGATATACCTCGGCTCTTCCGTCTGGGGAACCGAGCCGTCGATGAGCAACTCCGGGACCCATTTCCCCGTACTCTCACGAATCGCCAACCCGCTCCCTCCTATCCTCTACACACACGTCATGATTTCGCGATGAGTTCAACAAACTTTGCCGCCGCACAAGAACGGGTTCTTGAACGTCGTCGCCAGCGTGAGGCTGAAGCGCGTGCCCGCCATGCAGCACAGCAGCGGGCCTCTCCGATCAGCCCGGCCACCGTCCAGCGTCTACCATATCCATTGAATCGATTACCCAGCTCGGGGTGGCGGATATGGAATTCCATCAAGGGTCGGGATGGCACGCGCCCCGCATTTCGAGTAGGCCAGGTGGATGCTGAATTGTTGGATGAGGAACTGCTTGGTCTATTGAAGGGTCAGGTCGGGGATGCCCTCAAATACTTTGTGGTATGTCTGAATGCTCCTTGAATTATGAAGCGTTGTGACAAAGGGTGGCTGACAATGAAAATAGCCTCAAATGCGCGAAGATTGGTCACACGAGATTCTGTTCGCCTTACGGGCTATCCTCTTTAAACTATCGATATGGGATCACGATGCATCATATGGTGCGGCACTACAAGGCCTCAAATACACTGATAGTCGAAGCAAAGGACCCGTTTACTCTTCTCCGACAAAATGGCAAAAGAGTATTTATGGCTTATTGACGGTTGGAGGGCGATATGCTTGGGACAAGTGGGAGAGTTGGTTGGTCGGGCAAGAAGGTGGCTATGATGAGGTTAGTTGCCGACAATTGCTCCCCGTCGGGAGATCCTTACTAACGGATACTATAAAGCCATCACAGGACATCCGAATGCTGTCGGGACTAACGGACATTCTCTCCACATCGCACTCGATTGCCGCCTTCGTCTCTTTCCTTGTGTTCCTGGTGAATGGCAGATACCGTACCTTGGTCGATCGCATCCTTCGCATCCGCCTTGCTCCGCCATCTGCACAGGCTAGCCGGGAAGTGTCCTTTGAGTATTTAAATCGTCAACTAGTTTGGCATGCGTTTACCGAATTCCTTCTCTTCCTCCTTCCTCTGGTTGGAATTGGTCGCTGGCGACGATGGATCGCCCGTGCCTGGCATAAGATGGTCAATTCTGTCCGGTCAAGCGGGGATAATGACGAGATTCCAGAAAAACAAGGAGAACTAGCCTTTCTCCCAGAGCGAACATGTGCTATCTGCTACCGCGATCAGAATCCCACCACAACGACAGAAAGCGATGCCATGGCGGCCTCCGCGTCAGGGGGCATTGTGGGATCGGCGCAAACCGATATCACAAACCCATACGAGACTGTCCCTTGCGGCTGTATCTACTGCTTCGTCTGTATTGTGCAAAAAATCGAAGCAGAAGAAGGCCAGGGATGGTCTTGCCTCCGATGTGGTGAAGTTGTCAAGAAGTGCCAGCCTTGGAATGGCGACGTGCTAGAAGAAGCACGGTCGCAGCCTGGCACTGGAAAGATTGTTGGCTTTGCCATTGACGGGGAACCCAATGGCGAGGCCCGTGGGACAGATCTTCACGAAGCGGGGTCACTGGACAAATCCAGCCCGTTGCAGGAGATTAGCGCCGATGAAGCCCTGCAGCATTCAGAGCAATGGTCCACCATTGAAAAGGAGCCTACAGAAGGCGATAGCGCCAGAGGTACGAACGAAGATGAGGATCTAAAGCCTGCTTCGACGTGACAGTAACTTAGGGAACACGTCTCACACTCTGGATGCTCTTGTGGGTGTATCCTGGCCTGCTCTTCTCCCACTTGTTTATAAATATACAATTGCCCGGGTAGTCGCAGTACATGCAACCCTGATAGAAATTTGACGATACCCATACTTGAAGACCGAAGTTTCCTTTTGACATAATCACATAGCACTAGTTTAACAAGCACCGGAGATTCATACCACCACACCATTTAGCATTCCCGTTCAAGGAATAATCCAGCTGGAGACAGCAGCATAGAATCCAATGCCAGCCCCAACAAGTGGGAGCACGGCCCTGATCAAGTTCAACTGCGACCAATGCTGCAAAAGCTCAATCACCTCGCTATCCTCCCTAGCCCGCTTCGCCTTCTCCTGCGAACTGAGCACCATGTCCTCGGTGCCCTCGGCCATGGCCGCATCATCGCGCTTTGCATGAGCCATCAGTTTGGCATTCGTCTTCTGCATAAAAATACCCGTAAAAGGTGCAATGCCCAGCGTAAATCCGACAGCAAGCAGGTAGCATGTGGACCAGCTGGACCCAAAGATATCGGGAGCAGGGGTAGGGGAGTCCCGCAATGCCCAAAGCGCATAGAGATTTGCTAGTGAAGATGCCGCGGATATACCGGGGAAAATCCTGCTGCCACGATTATACAGATCAAACCACTGATGTGTCAAGTGGGCGGTCGACGTCCCTGGGGTATCATGGAATGGCAGTGTCGCGCTGGGTGGGCGACGAGCTGGAAGTATGAGATTTGGAATACTCATAATTGACAACGTAGCAATGCCGCCTTGATATACTGTGAGTGTCTGGTCATCTGTTGCGTAGGTAGTGCCACTTACTTGCTGCCGCTGTGCAGCCAAGCGTCCCTATTGCTTGGGCGATTCTCACGTCAGTGGCCATTGTATGGCGAATCTTGTATACAGAAAGGGTAGAATGAAATAATTTCAATTAAACAGAGTTAAGAGGCGCTGAATGTTGCTTTAATAGCATATGTCCACGGGTATGACGTCGGTGCCATGGACGATGCTGTCACTCCCGGTTGTGAGGATATAGAAGGCGGTGAGGAGTCTATCATAAATGACAATGTTGGCCTGTGTTGTTCTAGTAAATAAGTATACATGGTTAAATATAGTATCCCCAACTTTACCAATTGACATACAGACACATAATACACATAATACTATATTGTATACAAATTTATTCGTAGATCGGAGACTAGGCCCAACTCCGATCTGCTCATAAATCGGCCGCATCTGACTGGACAATGAACGTGGGGTTCCTGGGATCGGACATCGGTGCGAAATCGAGCTCCCGAGGTTGTGTGGGCTATAATTCTGGTCAATTGCCTCTACAATTTCTGTGTTTTGCTTTTTGTTCGCACATATCATCATGGATCCCTCAAAGCCAACCGTGCCTGGCACTCTTAGTGAGGCCAAATATATCAACTTTCCTTCGTTGGCCACAGATGCGAAGCACCCGGATGGCTCCCCCGCACTTAATCGTCACTCCCACACTATCACCAAAGGCCATGATTTCCCCGGCGCACGGGTAGGTTGACAATAAGAACATCATGAGGTCCATTACTAACCACTGTAGGCTATGCTCTATGCCGCCGGTGTCCCAGATAAAGAAGCGATGACCAAGAGTCCGCATGTCGGTATCGCCTCGGTATGGTGGGAAGGAAACCCATGCAATATGCACTTGATGGACTTGGCCAAGACCGTCAAGAAGTCAGTTCTAGGACAAGGAATGCTTGGGTGGCAGTACAACACGATTGGTGTTTCGGATGCAATTACTATGGGTAGTGAAGGTTGGTTTGGCAGTCAACTCTCACCGCTAGCAAACGAGACAGCTAACCCGCGCTAGGAATGAGATTCTCTCTTCAGACCCGAGAGGTTATTGCTGATAGTATTGAGACCGTAACGTGTGCCCAATACCACGATGCCTGCATTGCTATCCCAGGCTGCGACAAGAACATGCCCGGTGTTGTAATGGGCATGGCTCGCCATAACCGGCCCTCAATTATGATCTACGGTGGAACTATTGGAATCGGCTACTCCGAGCACCTGCGGAAACCCATCAATGTCTCAACATGCTTTGAGGCTGCGGGTGCCTACGCCTACGGTACCCTGCGCCAGCCCGACGACGGTGGCGACCAGACCAAGTCTCAGGATGAGATCATGGATGACTTGGAACAGCATGCTTGCCCTGGTGCCGGCGCCTGCGGTGGTATGTTCACGGCGAATACTATGGCCACTGCTATTGAGTCAATGGGTCTGTCACTACCCGGCTCATCGTCCACGCCTGCCGAATCGCCATCCAAGATGCGCGAGTGTGTTCGTGCTGCAGATGCTATCAAGGTTTGCCTGGAGAAGAACATTCGGCCACGGGACCTACTGACCAAGCGGTCGTTTGAAAATGCTCTCGTCATGACAATGGCTCTGGGCGGTAGCACCAACGGTGTTCTCCACTTCCTGGCCATGGCCCGGACGGCTGGTGTTGACCTCACACTAGATGATATCCAGCGGGTCAGCAACAAAATCCCCTTCATCGCCAACCTCTCACCTAGTGGCAAGTATTATATGGCCGATCTGTATGAGATCGGAGGCGTCCCATCTGTTCAGAAGCTGCTTATCGCAGCCGGTCTGCTCGATGGAGATATCCCCACAGTGACGGGCAAGACATTGGCTGAGAACGTTGCCTCATTCCCTTCCCTGACTGAGGGCCAGGATCTGATTCGTCCATTGGACAACCCAATCAAAGCAAGCGGACACCTGCAGATCTTACGTGGCAACCTCGCACCAGGCGGTGCCGTTGCCAAGATTACCGGCAAGGAAGGGCTCCGGTTCGTTGGCAAAGCCCGTGTCTTTGATAAGGAACACCAGCTCAACGACGCCCTGAACGAAGGCCGCATCCCGCGCGGCGAGAATCTTGTCATCATCGTCCGTTACGAGGGCCCCAAGGGTGGGCCCGGAATGCCGGAACAGCTAAAGGCCAGTGCCGCGCTGATGGGAGCCAAATTGACCAACGTGGCCCTTATTACTGACGGACGGTATTCGGGTGCCAGCCACGGTTTCATTGTTGGCCACATTGTGCCAGAAGCCGCCGTGGGTGGCCCGATTGCGCTAGTCCGTGATGGGGATGTCGTCACCATCGACGCTGAGACCAATTCCCTTTCAATGGATGTGTCAGATGAGGAGCTTCAGGAGAGACGGAGTCGGTGGGCCCCCCCCTTCACCGCAAATCACCCGTGGTGTGTTGGCCAAGTACGCACGTCTAGTCAGTGATGCATCACAGGGAGCCATGACGGATCTGTTCTAATGAATCATTATGATATGCCTCCTGAGTGTAAATGTACATAGCATATTTCGAGGCAGTTGAAATGATGTTATGATCTACCGTCCACGGCTGTTCTAGAAAAGGGATAAACATTCGATTTCGATATGATCTTCGTGGTCCCGCTTGAAATTGACCAGTGGGAAGTAAGAGGCCATGCATGCTGGCCCGGGGGTACTATGAAACGGAGTTCAATAATGATCAGGTGAACTTTATTGTATTTCTTTTTTTATATTTTTTATATATATATTTAGTATATGTATACAATATACCCTGGGCAATGGTCCGTTTCGCTCCGTTTTTTTCAATACGAGAATTACCTACAACATGAGGTAGCCCTTTAAACTAGCCAAATTGGGCCAGTACCTAGATCAGCAGATAGCTCTCCCTCTGTGCACTAGAAAGGGTTCGGCAGGCTAGACAGCAGTTTTGAATCAGCCTCATTGGAGCGCAGGAAGAAAGCGAAGGAATCGTCTCACCAACAGCGACTTCGTTTTGAGGGCTGCGAGTAAGATACTCAATGCAGGGAGGTGCCACCATTCCGCTCCCAAGAACCAGAATTCTCTTCTTCTCAGACATTGTGATGCTTATACACTGCAACTTTTCGGCACTTTCGAACTGCAGACATTAGCTGGGTGATGTCAGATTGTTTATTTCATTTGGTGGGTTTGATCTCGTGATTGAGTTAGTTACTAGTATACCTACATGTAGGTAACCTTACTATTCGACGATAGGAACTAAGATAAACTTACTATAACCTTATACATAGATAGAAGACTGAATAGTAAAATGAGTGTGATATATAAAAATTAGGATACTACTTAGCTATTTAACCTATAGGGGTTTATAAAGTACAACATAGTGCTAAGGCCTAAGCAAGTGCTACCTCCAGGGCTTAGGTGGCTACCTACGTACTATATGAAGAAAGTAAATATATACATGACGGGACGGGACAGGTTGTAGTTCCGGCTAACATATCCGTTCTACGTACAATTTATAGTATATCGTAAGAGCCAAGAGAGTACGGAGTATAGAGTAAAGAGTATACATCGAAAAAAAAAAAGGATATTAAATTGAGCTAAACCTTTAAAGATATGTCTGGTAATGTACTAGTAATGTACAAAGTGGTCTCGAAATTTTCAAACAGTACGGAGTAGTACTTCTCCCATAGTAAACACCATAATCAAGCAACCTTGGAAGTTCCCAAACTTGTGGCAAGACCCACCAATAGATGACGATGACTCACCCCCACGCCGCTTCTCCCGAGGCTGTGAGTGGCCGAAGCTGAACCCTTTGTACTTTTTCTTATTCTCGTAAATCATTTCAACGTTGCCGATCTAGCTTCCCTTATTGGTCTTCAGGCTATTCTCCCTATATCCAAGGAGCATCAGGAGTGCCGTCGTGTGGTTTTTTGGTGAAACCACTATCGGGGGGGCTCTGAAAGCGCCCAGAACGCCCCTCCGGTATTTAATCATGGGTTCCGACGCTATCTCCGCCCTCTGCGACTCATTAACGACTCGATCCAAAAGTGTCGCGGCTGTCCTGCGATTCTTTCACTCGGTGCGCGCGGCCTTCCAAAACGCTTCTTTCGCCTCCATCGCCAGCCCATTCCGCGGCCTCTACCGCAATGATAATGTGAATTGGGGTCAAGTTGTGTTCTTAACTACCTGCTTGATCGCCATGACTGGATGTGGGTTGTTGTCGTCGCTGGTGAAGCGCAGACGGTCGGGGTCAAAAGCCTCTCGTGCGCAACGTCCCGCCCTTCGCAAGAGGTCTACCAAATCTTCAAAGTCTCTGAGCTCGTCGGAGGAGGATTATGAAGATGAAGACTACGATAGCAACGCATCGTTGCGACATGGAACCAATCCCAACTACAAGAAGAAAGAATGGCCGTCGGACGCTCAGCAGCAAAGTTCTGATGGTAGGTGAATCGCTCATATTCCACTTGAGGGCCTTCATTAACACTCGCGCAGCATATGAAACAGACCCGGGCATTCTCAAGAAATTTACCACATACAACTCCTACACTACCTCATTCGCTACCTATCCCGCCATTCGCACCTTTTACAGCCCACATCCGCACCTGGCTCGACTCCCGACCAAACCGACTCCTGTCCCACTGGTCGTGGTCGTTCATGGGCTAGGCGGGTCACTTGCACAATTCCACCACCTCCTCACCAGCCTTTCTAATGTCGCTTCATGCTTTGGTATTGATTTGCCCGGGTGCGGGCTGTCCAAGTTTGCACCTACGGATTGGAATGCATACACTGTGGAGGCTCTGTCCGAACTATTGGCTGAAGCCATTGATCAGCACCGGGACCGGGAGTCTGGTCAGGAAGTCATTCTTGTGGGACACAGTCTTGGATGTTCCTTGTCCGCCCTCTTGGCTTCATCGACGTCGCCCATTGGTGCAAAGGTGAAAGAGCACATCCTCGGCCTTGTCGCTGTGTGCCCTCGAGCCGAGCCCCCATCTGTGGAAGACGCTACCAAGTTTCGCCGAGCGCTCTATGTCCCTGATCTGATTTTCGATCTTTGGCGTCGCTGGGACAGACGTGGAGGTGAACAAAGTGCTAGTGTTATGCGGATGGTCGGCGTCGCTGCCGACATGGAAACACGAAATCTCCAGGTGCGCTTCAACAAGCAAAGTCGGACGCCTGTTTGGAGGCGCATGGCGTGGGGCACACTTCCCACCTACGATAATGACGGCCACCCGATTAGCGGACTTCCTGGGCAACAGGTCTGGGCGGGAATTCGCATGCCAGTTCTTTTGGTCGCAGGTGAGACAGATGCTGTGACCAAACCGGTGGAGGTGCAGAAGCTTTTGAAATTCTTTGGTGATGCTTCAGCCCATACCACGGTTGATACCAGCGATAGCAGCATCATCCCAGACGCTTCGCGGGTTCACGACCAAATGTCACCCCCAGCCGGCGATCTCGTCAACGACAAGGTGTTTGGCGTGGAGGTCTCCGAGAAGCATTTGGAGGTTGGCCAGCGGAAGCGAGTGGTCAAATCGGCGATTTTGCCGGCGCCTGCATCTCATGCACTGCTCTACGACCGGGCTACCTATCGCACTCTTGCAGGGATTATCCAGGATTTCTTCTCGTCAAATGTCGACAAGCGTCTCGGTCTGGGCTGGCAATTGCAGCACATGAACACATCTGGAAAGTGGGATGTAAAGAACCTCGCGAAATGGAAGAAGGTTGCCCCAGTCTCGGAACGAATTGGCAACACATTCGCCGCGCTCAAGATGTTGCGCGAGGTTGACGAGGAGCACAACCCCGCGGCTTTCTCGGCAAAGTACCGTGGTCGCATCCATGCTGTTATAGACATCAGTCATGAAAGTCCGGTCTATAACCCGGCCGAATTGGAGAAGGGCGGTGTTCGCTACTACAAGCACCCGACTATATCCAAGATTCCTCCGACTCCAGACGAGACGCGCGACTTTATCGCTCTGGTCAACAGCATCCAAAAGGATATTGATGAGAAGATGGAGCAGCGTACAGAGGAAGAGAAACTTCTGCCACGTCCAGTGGTCGGAGTTCACTGTCACTATGGCTACAACCGTACCGGGTTCATGATCGCCTGCTATTTGATCGAGCATCTTGGCTTTGCTGTGCAAGATGCCATTGACGAGTTCAACCGGTGCCGACCTCCTGGTATCCGACATGGACATTTCATTGACACTCTATTTGTGAGGTATTGCGTCGGGCTGAAGAGAGCGCCGACACTGTAATTGGGAAGGATTCTGGCGTTAGGAAACGGGGTGCATTTTAATTGTTTCAAAGTTACGAATAACGACCAACTGCCATGAAATAGATTTTAATTTGTATAATTAGAGCATGAGAAAACGAACCATTCAAATCTTCAAATGATCGCAGCTTGTAAAATAATTCAAGCCTGTAACATCAGGCACCAAGATGTGATGTAGAGCCTTATACATCAGGCACAAATTGGGCCATATCACATGACCCAGCTTAGGGTACGGCTAACCCAAAATGGACAAGCGAACGGCACACAGACCCAACCCGCCCAGAGTTGTGTGTGTCTTGAAATTTTGAGCGACTCTTCGACTTCGACCCTGCCCACCTCGACGCCCAACGCCTCTCTCTCTCTAATCCCTACCCTTCGACCCCTCGACAAGTCGCCAAAATGGGTGGTGTTACCGTTCGCGATGTGGACGTAAGTGTCCTGCTCGACTTTTAGGTGATCGGTCACCAGCTCTGGTTTGCGTGATGTGGACGGTTCGTTTCTGGATGCACGGATACCACAACATCGGTCGGATCATATCGCCAAGATGGAAATGCTTCGGATTACGCACGCAATAGGCGAATGGTTTCATTGCCTACCGGGAACATATCGAATATTGAAGGATGTGCATGCATGTTTTGAGGGCCGAATTCTTGATAGATTCCGTCTATCTGTCGGCATTCGCTCTGGAAGCTAGACACAACGACTGCATGCTAGCGACATGCTCCACGACGAATGATTAAATGCTTCCAGAAACGAATCCGACGCATCTGCAAATCCAGAGACTTTTTGACCGATCCACGCATATCTTGATGAGCCCCAACTAACATATAACTTTCTCCTCCACACAGGCGCAGAAGTTCATCTCTGCCTACTCTGCTTTCCTGAAGCGTCAGGGAAAGCTCCCCATCCCCGGATGGGTTGACACTGTCAAGACCTCTGCTTCCAACGAGCTTCCTCCCCAGGATGCTGACTGGTACGACCGCATCAAATATGAAGCCACCAGAATTCGAACAACCAATTGACTTTCTTGCTTTTCAAGGTTCTACGTCCGCGCCGCCGCCTGTGCCCGTCACATCTACATGCGCAAGACCGTCGGTGTCGGTCGTCTTCGCAAGGTCCACGGTTCCACCAAGAACCGTGGCTCCCGCCCCGCTCACCACGTCGATGCCTCCGGCTCCGTCGACCGCAAGGCCCTCCAGGCTCTTGAGAAGATCGGTGTCCTCGAGACCGATGAGGAGAAGGGTGGCCGCCGCATCACCCAGAGCGGTCAGCGTGATTTGGACCGTATCGCCAAGACCACCGTCGACGAGGAGGAGGAATCGGATGAGGAATAAACGTATCGCAACAATGGGCTTTTAATAGTTCGGGGATAAGTCGTTTGTTTTTGTGGTTTTGTCTTCGCTACGGCGGCAAGATATTGGAAATGACGGCACAAAAATAAAAATTCGGAGCTTGCGGTCCCGTGCGCGACTTTACGTTTGTTTCTTTTTTCTTGTTCCACTCCATATTTTTTTTTCTGACGACCAGACGGGGCTACTAGCGGAGAGAGATATGGGCGGTGCAGAGTGCATGAGGATGAGGCATCATTATCCGGAGACTTGAACGAGAGAAGAGAGCGGACGAGACGTTCTACACAACCCTTCCCTCTCTCTCTCTTGTCGAGGGGAGGGGATCTTTTTTCCCTTGACATGTTTTTTTATGATCTCCCTCGCCTCTTTGACCCCGATCAACCCTACGGCGTCTTTGTCCCTTTTTTCTCTCGTGGTCTCCTGGAAATAAAGAGCATGTCTAAACACTTCAAAGCTGTTCCGTCCTCTCTCTCCGTTGTAGATGTAGATGTAGACTTCAGGTATGTTTAGCCACCGGCAGATCTTCAGCCTTACACATATAGATCGACAATCTCCAAAAACCCAATCTATATCCAATCATTGCTATTGAATTTACGCAATCCTCGTTTTTATGTATGTACAAGACAAGTCTAAGTTAGCTTCCGATCTCCTTTATTTCTTTCCGGACTGAGCCGCGGTATCCTACCAGACAATCAGCACCAACCGCCATCTTACTGCTAGCAACGAAAGAGTGTACTCACCAAGTAGACCTGATAAAACTGCATCTTGATATCCTCGTCTCCCTTCTGGGGCGCGAAAACAACCCGTCCAGCCCAAGGCACATAAACCTCATTATCGGGGTTGGCTTTAAGTCTATAGTTCACACCACCATACAACATGATCTCATCATCGCCGCCAAAGTAGATCTGCGTCGGTGTGTGTCGGCGCGAAGCAACGTGTGTCCAAAGACCGTGACGGAGCGTGAGAATTGCTGTTATGGAATTGATTTTGTTAGTTGGAGTACACTAACGCAGATGTATATCTTGATCGGCTATATAGCTTCACTGATGCTAAGGGCAGGAATCAGGTAGCACCATACCGCTTGCGCCCTTGGCCTCCTTGGGTCCCATAATGAGTGTCGCATCTTGGGTAAAGCTCTGGACATATTTCTCGTGCAAGGGCTCGGTGTCGCTGGTGCGATAGAAGTCTTCCATGAATGCGACGAGCGCAGCGCCGCGGGGTGGTGCGCGGGTTTTGTCGTAGGCGATCTGGTAAGACATTCTGGTTTTGTGAGTTAAGAAGAGATATTTGCAGGTTGGAAAGAATAATGAGAAGATTCCGGGTCCTTGTAGGATATGTCTATTTCATCATGAGGGGAAACATCGGAAGGGACGCATCCGATCTTAGCGAGGACCATATAGAGTGAATTTCTTCTTTCTGCCTTTTTGTATGGACCAATGGGAATTATAATAGACTTACACCAAGACTAGATATTGATGTATGTGAGACCCTGCTGGATCCGAACAAGTACCTGGGCTACATAGTACTCGAAGTCGTATGTTGTACTTCGGAATAGCATCGGAAGTGGACATACCCGCAACTATTAGCCCTGGCAGTCATCCATTTAGATATTTGTATAATAGAATATTGTTGGTAACTTCAGAGAAGTCCTTATTGTATCAATCGATTTGGTATATTTCTATTGTTTTACAAAACAAATGTCCCCTCAGGTATGATATAATACCTATACTTCAACAATTTCGTGTAATATACTGAATACAAAAGCTTCATTTGATGGAGGTCGCAAAAGAATCACTGATAGTTCATAGCTAAGAACAGAGAGATAGAAACGAAGCATGCAGGTCTTCTCAACCCATGGCCTCCTCCATTGACCAATGCATACATCCTTCCTCCCAGCAGATCATTCAGTGCGTGGCGTAGGTCTCTCCTGGGAACACTCTTCCCTCATGTAATCATGTTGAAGCGATTTACAGTATGGGGTCTGTTCATATACATAGACTCCCTCACATACCTCTCCCAATCTCCGATGCATTATTGATCCGATAGCCCCCTCTGCATCATTTTGTGCTTCCCACCATCGCCAGTCCTCCCCGGGCAGGTATTGTCTCCGAAATTCGGTATGACCAAAGTCGATCATAGTCAATTTGAACTTGTATTCGGAGTCTAAATCTAAATCTGGGTCGTTGGCTGGATCAGGTTGCACGATGAAGCATCTTACATTCGTATCGTCATTGAGGACCCCATGGCGCATGATTTCATTGACAATCTCGATAGCCTTATCAACGATGGGTTGCCATGCTTTCTTTGGGGCTTTCTTGGGGAGTTCGGGTAGAGGGAATCCCTCGATGTATTCCATGAGAATCCCAGGATGTTCGAAATACCGGCTAAAGCGCTGACCTTGGGTGTATTTCGGTCCCAGAATTTTCGTACGTGCAAACATTCGGGGGATGGAAATGCCTTGCAGATTCTTCATCGTCTCGTATGCTTCCGTCTCTGATTCGTAATAGAACTGCTTGTGGACGTAGGCATCAATCTCCTCGCATCTGTGATCCCATTCCCCTTCTTCGTCTTCAGGTCCCCCTGCATCGTCAACCGCTGCGTCGAGATCGTTGGTCTGTTGTTCTCCAGTTGTCCCATGGGTTTTGGTAGAATTGTCTCCACTGACTTCATTGTTTCTGTTGATATCTTGGGTTTCGATGTCAATGATCTTATGACGACCCCAAGGAACGACCGCAGTGACTCCAGTGAGAAAAGGCGGGTGGCGCATAATAGACCGCGGGAAGCCATCTTGTATGCATAAAAGAGAGGGGAGAGAAGCTTGTTAGATATCATGGGGAGGTTGTACCAGGTGCCTTTGGAACTGAAATTGTCATTTCCATTGGTGCCTTCCTGCTCACAAGTGTTCTGTTGGTCCTGTTCCTCGGTATCTTCTTCAATGATTGTTGGCATAAAGCAGTGATCTTCTTCTCTTTGCTTTATGCAAGCCTTTTCGTACTCAATCGCAAACTCCATTCCTTCGTCTGAGCAAAGGAATTCATAAAGATCTCTCTCAATTTCTGGTGTCCAGGGACCGGCAATTTTATAGACACTCCGTAGTCCCGTTGAAAACCGTCGATCATAGATCTTCAGGACCACCTTCCCCTTAATGCCTAGAGAAGAAAGGTTGGAATCAAACAAGAGGACCATGGCACATGATTGAGTCCAGGGTTCGAAGGTTTTAACAATTGTGGCTTGCACCGGGCGACCCTCTACCTGCAGGGTGATCTTATTGCCGACCACATACGGACACCTGAAACAGTTAGAATTGATTCACAAGTGAAGAGACCAGTTGCCACTTACTCAGTCACTTCGTCTATCATCTTAGGGTCTTCCTCCATCATAAGACAAAAGAAATGGTAAAATCCTACAAAGTAGGAGCTAGGTCGGAAAGTAGAACAAAAGTGAAAACAACCGGAAACAACTGGCAAAGGGACAAACAGAGAGTACAAATATTCCACGACACAAAGAGCCCAGAGGAATCCAAAAATAGAGATGCAAAGCACAAGAAGAGGGGAGGAAAAAAGGAGAAAGTGCTTCTTTCATGCGGAATGCCGCACCAACTGGTGCCAACTGTCTAATAACGTCTGACGTCTTCCCAAACATGCAGAATAACAAAGAAATCTTTGAACTCAGATGTGGTACGCTGAGTTATCTCTAATATTGGTTTCTTTGCTGAGTTTCCTGATATCCAAGAGGAACTAGGACTGCACTAAAACACTGAAAGGGAAAGAAGCCAAAGGAAGTTTTGATACCCTTGAAAATATCTGCATCAGTTTTGTACATTAAGATTTCAATCTTCAAAGTCGACTAAAACTCCATCCCCTACCTCACTATTAGATATCTAGTCAATATTAACTTCGACTGTCAATTCATGCTAACATTATTTGTTGCGTTGAAAAATAAAACAGATACTTTATATCTACTAATTACTTGTGCCTAGGAGTGGTGAAATGATATTTCATTAATATAGTCAATAAAGTAAGGCGTTAATTGGTATAAATAAGGGCGGAATCAAGCAAAGGGATAAAAACACAATGCACCAAAACAAGATACTGCTTTAGAAGAAGCCGGGGAAAGGAAGAAAAGTCGGATTCATTCCCCGGAGGTTGAAGGCCAGCCCTAAGAACAGACTGGTGCATGTCTGTAGTCAAACGTGTGCGTGTGGTTGCTCTACTTGCCAATATTGTTGAGTTTGATTTCAATGGCATCGATAACCTCCTGGGGGGTAGGAGGGATTGGAGGTGCCGTCCTTGTTTATGCTTCCCGGTAGGGTGAAGTTCAACATAGGCTTCTTTAGGTATAGAACCTGAATCCGGTACTCTGGTAGCGCAGTAGTTGTCTCCATGCTCCTCGTGACATAGGCACCATAAATCTCCGCCTTACCATCACCGTGAACCTGGCGCCACTTGCCTTTTTGCCAGAAGCACTCCAAATATCTCGGGTCCAAATTGGCCAGATAATCCCTCGCAGTAATCCCACTCTTCCTCACGAGATCCATATTGATTCCTCTCCCAGGCATATCGAAAGAAAAAGAAGAGCTCTGCAAGATATATATAGTGAGTACCGAGTGCGGTACAGGCAGATCAGGATGAGATCAGATGGTTTTAGTCTTTACATCGAGACGGACATTCGTAGTTCTTATACAAGAGACTATTCAAAATGTTTGACGCGAAGAGCTATATACGTAATAAAGAGACACACAATGGGGTTGCTTGTACCTAGAAATTTCATATCCGAGCACTAGCAAAGACACTACAAAGAATCTGAAGTTTGAAGTTAAGGGGACTGGAGAAAGGAATTCTAACGGGACTCTCGAAACGAGACCGCCAATGAAAAAAAAAATCTCAAACAGGGGAGGAAAAAGGCCTTCATGCTGGGAGGAAAAAGGCCTTCATGCTGTCTCTGAAAAAGACATGTATGAGACAGATTCAAGTTTTAGGTGTAGAATAGATTCAGGAACGCACGCTGTCAATACCGAATCCATCTATGATTTTGGCAATGTCAAATCAATGGAGCTAGTAGATACTGAGCCCTTGGTCTGTACTCAGAAGAATCAATGCACATTGTCTAATGCTAAGAGGCAAAGTAATCCAAAGGCAATTCCAGCGCACGGCATTGTTCCAGTTCATCCAAATCCCTCATCCCGGACGGCCACTGAAGCAGCCGAAGCTGACTTTCTTTACCAAACGGCTTCCATAACCCAGTAGCTTCAATTTCCCGAGTCGTGTTACCATATCCTCTTGCCTTTAAAAAAGCCAAGTCGGGTGTAGGCCTAGCCACCCTTGCAAAGCTCGCCCAAGAATCCAGCACATACTGCCCGAAAGGTAGATCGAACTCATCCCGGAACGGCAAACCCTGACGGCGGAAACTTCCAAACACGTAGAACAGCTCGCCAGAATGACATTTAAAGTACTCCTGGCTGGGGTCACCATTGGGAAACTCGTCTGTGATAGGAGCGTTGCACACTGGGGCATTAGGTGACCAGCCAGGCATTTGGTATGAACGGTTAAACTCGTAGTAGTAGATATCAGGGAATATATGTGTCCTCGAGGCTGTATGTGCAGTTGCTTCGTCGATACAGCGGAACATTCCATCTGTCGCTATACGAGAGGAGGTATTGAAGATATCGAGCGTAGCGTTGGCGGTTGACGGTACGGGGAAGAGTGGGCTTGGTGCAACTGAGTCAGGCAGGTCGGAGTCATTGAGGAAGGATTTCAGAGTTTGTCCCACAGCAGGATAACCAATCATGGCAGCTCCATCGTCTCTCATCGTACCGATCATCAAAGGTACACTGGCAGTCGATGCTGGGTCTGTTAAATCCAGCTCCGAGCTTCGGAGGTAGACGCCATCAACGACCAGATACCGCGCCGAGTCAGCGAGATTTGCAATCGTTGACGCGGGGAGTTGCCTCAAACACTCGACCGGTGAAACAGCATCTGTGCAGTTTGTCTCGTTGAGAATAGTATTCCCCACAACGTCCATCGCCTGCGCGATGGTATAGTACTTCGAGTAGGTTGTGCCGTAAGCCAAGCCACCCAGATTGCTCTGCATAATTGCACCAGAAATTTTACCTCGTGCTGCAGGAGAAGCAAGTAGTGCCCGCACTGAGCCTGCTCCAGCTGATTGGCCGAAGATGGTTACTCTGTCTGGGTCGCCGCCGAAGTCCTGAATATTCCGACGAACCCACTCCAGCGCAGTGATCTGGTCTGCTAATCCGTAGTTCCCGTTGGTTTTGCCATCATCCAGTGCGAGAAACCCCAACGTTCCTAAACGGTAGTTTATTGTGACGACAACGACATCACCTCTCGAGGCGAGATTACCGCCATCAAACGTCGGGTCACTGCCAGTGCCACCGGTGAAAGCTCCGCCGTGAATCCAAACATCACAGGCTTGAGATGGCTCTTTTGGATTTTGTTGCTCTTGGGAAGATAGGGAGTCCAGACATTGAGGAACAAGCAGTCTTCTGAACCAGTTGTGCCTTGTGTGCAGTCCGAGCCATAGTCGAGAGCAGAAGCTTTTTTGCCAGTGCCCTTATATACTTGGGAATAGTCCCATCGTCGGGGCTGTTTAGCGTAGCGAATTCCTAGAAAGCGGAAACTGAATCGATCCCGGAATCTATGTTTTGTTAGGATAGATTGCGATATTCTAGGGAGTACTAGTTCCTACCCAGTGAGATATTCATCGTTGGAATGGACAGTCACTTGCCACTGGGCACTTGTATCCTGAAACGTACTGTTGGATAAGGGTGCACTTTGTGTACAAAGGACGGGCTGTTTTTCGTTCGCAGAGACTTTGTTGACCCGACCATTTGTGTCGATGGTGGACAGTTTGCGATGGTCCGAGGCAGTCCAAAACCGTTGGTTGCGAGTGTATTTGCCTTGGAATACAAGGTAGTCCAAGTCATTTTGAATATCCTTGTAACTAGAACCAGCCCCCCAGAGAGTCTCTCCAATTTTTTGGCAGCTTTCAGTGGCTTCTTGCCATGGTCTCGCATCGAGCACCAGGATTCCTGAACCTGATAAAGGACTTTCGCTTTCTGTTTCAACTGTGAGTCTTCAATTCCAGATCCCAAAGGGGATATGCATACCTAGAAGGTCATTGTGAATGAGAATGGAAATATCCGAATCCAAAGACTTGGGGCTCACTGCGTTTGCGGCGATTGCCAAACAGAGAAATGCAAGCCCGTAGACCATTACGGTCAAGTATGTAGACTCGAAAAAGTCTCTAAACCACCAATATTTGAGGCAATGCTCCTATTTATCAATTTATTTCCTTTTTGGCTAATTGCCCAATTTTGTCTGATTTTCTGGTTATTTAGTTATTTAGGCACTTGGAACCCCACGTCGGCAAAATGGCCTTAATAGAATAGGTGAAGATGCTCCATTTATCCGACTGTAAGAGTTTAACCTCATCTTCTTCAACATTAGATTAATAGGAAATAAAGCTTGTGTCTAAGATCATAACAAGACAATGTGTGTACATAGTGCCACCATCTGCAATCCCCCGCACCGGGGTTTCCCCACAAAGTCCAAGACAGTGTGTCTGTACATGTATCAACATCAACACTCACACAGCGCTCAACATTTTCGATTCGTCAAAATAGCACAGTCATGACCGACTCAACGCGGTCAAGAGACAGTCTACCACCTCCTCCCCCACCTCCCCAGAGGACCCTCGTGCAAAAATATCACCCACAGTCCTAAAGATGCGAAGCACATCTCCCAGCCACTTCTTTCAATCCCAAACGCGACCTCAAGACCAAGGCCCTGCTCCAACAGGCCCATACTTCTTCTACGGCTCCCTCCAAGACCAAAGTCTACTCATAGATCTGTTAGACCTAAAACACTCTTTTCACCTGCGACCCGCATACATCAAGGGCTACAAATGTAAGCTTTGGGGACACTACCCAGCTTTACTCTCTGGCGATCCCGGGGATACTGTCACAGGGGCTGTGTACGAGGTGCCGACGGTTGAAGACGCGGAGAAACTAGCCGCTTATGAGGGGCCTAGTTATACAAGTGTTGCTTGCTCAATTCGGTATGTGGATGGCCAATCTCCAATACAGGCAGAGGGGTACGTGTTTCTCTTCGTGGGGAATATGCGCGATCTGAGTGAGGGGCCTTTTGATTTAAAATATTGGTTGGAGAGGAGGGCACTGGGAAGAAAGAATCGAAGAGACGTGGGGTGAGCTCAGCCCATACTTCGGAATCCGACACGGGAAGTTATAGAATGTTACGATGTACATTATACAGCGTAGAGTCAAATGATAGCCCTTTTCGCTCTCCGCTTATCTTTCAGTCTGAGTCAGACCATTGACTAAGAGCTGTCTGACTGTAAGCAATTAAGCAAACAATACTAACTTAGAATGCAAGCTCCATAATGTAGTAGTATCTGCAAAATTAAGTTGATTTTGAGCATCGCGGGGTAAAACAGGGTAAGCGGCACCAGGAACCGATCAAGGCCCAGATGACTCGGGGATCTACTACATACAGGACCAAGTAGAATCCTCGGCTGTAGCACCATTGAGGGGTTAGAATTCTATAGAATGGTAGAACGGGATAGAAGGTGACATGCAGGGCTAGCTCGTCACCCGCATCTCCTTCCCGCACAATAGGAGGGGGGGAATTGATGGCGGAGTGGCCGAATTGAGGAAGCCCACAATTTCCAACACACAGACCTTACTAACCCACAAGGTGAGTTGGAATTGTACAACTGGCTTGTCGTACATGGACCTCGCACTAGATGCATTCCTCGGATGTATTCGTACGGGGCAACGGAGGCTTGAGCTGAGGCAGGTGTCAACTATGCAGGATTGCATTCCAAGGCGAATGCGGACATGTTCAATGTTTTTAAGTTCAATTATGTGTGTTCCTTGGGATGCATAAAAATGTAGTATACTCTGTATTTTTATAGTAGAAGAATATGGAGTACCTACATAGGTACCTAGGTAGAAAGTGCCAATTGTCACAGGTACAAGTGACGTCAAAGGCTAGAGCCCAGATTATAGTGGGACCCGAGGTAAAGTGGATGTAACTAGTACACGCATACAATATAATACTTTTCTGTAGTACCTATATAGGGTAGACATAAGTACTCCGTACTTCATACAAGTTACACAATAGAGCAATTCTAGATCGGAAACAGTTATAAGAATGACATCTACACTATGAACATCCACGGGTATGAAAAAAACTCGAACTTGTTGAAATGGTCCACGTGCCCTGGACGGTGGTTATCAGCCGATGATAGGAGATAATAGGGTTACGCCCTGGAGCGCTGCAAGCGTTCATTAACAGCGCACGAGCACTGAGGATCGCCATGACTGGCCGATAACAACTTGGCATGAGGGGTTTTATTTCTCGATTACCCAGAGATCTTGAGGGGATTTCCTTGAGATCGGCTCAAGGATATGAATATTTTAGTGTGAGATGAACATATAGTATGATGGGGGTGTAGGATGTATATATATGCTAGCATGTTAGCATGCTAACACGTTAACATGTTAAATGTTTAAAACAATTAAAGAGAATATGGTAGAATAGAAGGTAATAATGTCGTAGTTTAATAGTAAATATGTAAATATAATAGTATAGTAATAGTGAAGAGAGAGAGCTGGAGCCGGAAGCACCCGGTGTCGCCAATCAATCCACCCACGCGCCTTCCTTATTCCCATACTTGGGCCTTCCTGGTGAGTACAAAGGTGCAAGTCACTTCCAGGGCCGTCACACTTGTCTTTTTTTCCCTTTTCATAATCTGGACTCTCAGACTCTCAGACACTCAGACACTTGTGCTCGTGGACACTTCTCTTGGACTCTGTTCTTATCATCTATCTCCCCTTACCGCGTCGCATCCCCTACGTGGATTACAAGCCCTAAACAAGTTGGCCCCAACCTAGCTACACGGCTACAGTGTCTCTTTGTCACTGTGTGTGAAAGGTGAGTTGCTTTGTTTTGCCTCTGGGATTTCTTTCGTCCTGAAACTATTCTGTTGCCACCTGATCTTTCCGTGGTACTTCCTTTGTCGCGTTCCAGTCTTCTGACTCATATACCCCGGCTTGCGCCCTCTAGGTTCTTCTCCTTTCACAAATCAATATTCCATCCACCATGGCTTTCCAGACAAACTCCAGCATTGCGATGGCTCTTGCTGGCAAGACCGCCTCTGTTGATATCCCTAAGCGCCGCTCTGGCCTGAATGGTGATCGTGCGTCTACGCGACCTGGACTGCCTGCGATGCTGCCTACGCCACCCAACTCCATTTCCCCGACCCTCCCTCCTCAGACCTTCAAGCACCGAGCGAGACTGTCGCCCGGATCGCCGCTGTCAACTGTCCCCCAGTTGGACTCCGACATCGATCTCGAGGGTGCGGAACACGAACACGACAACGGTCATCACGTCTCCCTGCCTGTCGATGACCTCGACAGTACCGGCGCGATCACCCCTGCCATGCTCGCCAAGTATCATCTTCCTGAGATCTTGCTCGAGCAGGGCCCCTTGGCTATCCGCCACGTTATGGGTCATCTGACAACTTCGGTCCCTGGCTTTTCGCATATCCCCCCGGCCAAGGCGCGCAGACTAGTTGTCGCGGCGTTGGAAGGTCGAGGGGCGGGTGGTGTCCAAGGCGACGTGATGTTCGAGAAGATTGGTTGGGGCCGCTGGGACGCGCGACGTCGTGGTGAACCTGCTCGCGATCGTGATTTGAACGCCTCATCGTCGCCTCCCTCGAGTGTTGCAGGTTCATTCCAGCAGCGTGGCCTACAGATTCAGGGCCAGTCGGGCTGGCAGGGTGGCAACCGTCACCCATACCGCATGAGCTTTGCCGAATCCACGGCGTTCTCGTACACCGACGATTACGGCATGCATGGGGACCTTGACATGCTAGAACACGAGGCCGACAAAATGTCTCTCGACGGCGATGACGGCGAGTACTGCTCTTCCTCGGAGGCTCCCGATGAGATGCAAGAGAATGAGTGGGTTGAAGGGGATGACACCGATGAGGAAGACTGGGCACAGATTGGCGCCGACGCTTTGCGCGCCCGTTCGATGAACAACAACGGTAGTTTCATCAACGGCCACGTCGCTGCGCGCGCAAAGCCTCAGCCTGCTGGGATTTTCCCCGCCACCTGTCCCTCTGTGGCTAAGTTGCCACCCCGCACTTTTGATAACCAGGAACGCGCCGCTGTGGAAGCGCTCCTCCGCCTGGGCTCCATGTAAAACCCCACCCTCATCATGATCGGCGTTTATTTCTTTCTATTCTTTGCGAGTACATTTTTTTTATTCACATTCAAGGCCGTCGAAGCTGGTCTGGACCGCTTTTGGCGTGCCATGGCTTTTCGGCAATTCATCCAAAACAAAATCCAAAGCCAGGAAATTTGCTAGCTTGCAGTGCAAGCTACCTTGATTGATGGGCGTTGGGCTGGACATTTGTGGTATTGGGTTTCCAAGATGGCGTTCCAAGTCTTCACTTCTCTCTTATGCCTGCTACGAAACAACTTGTCATGACGATTCAGGGTAGCAGTCCCGTCGCTGCTACCACTATGACAACTCCAAATACCCCTTCTTCTCCGCTCTCCTTATTCTTTTTACATGGGTGAACTCCAGTACTATTGTCTGTCACCTACTCATTATGGCGTTTATCTTTGCATCCGTCGAGTCAGCTACCTCTCCTACAAGACTCCTCGTGTTTCTTTCTTCATACTTCGGGATTTTCTAAGACTCTACTTTATTTCTTTTTTTATGGGTCTTCGATTCCACAACTCCCCAAATCATCCTTGGAAGATCTCAGCCATCTGGCGTGAGGTTCCGGTCGTCTTCATTGATTGCACTGGCCCCTTCCGACTGGTATGCAATCTCAGTCATCTTCACTGATCCAACTGAGAAGTTGTCTTCTTCCTCTCTCTTTCTCTCTATTTTTCCGTGTTTGTGTTTCTCTTTATGTGGTCTACGCATAGTCTGTTGTACATTGCAAGTTCATCGTCCTTGCATTGCCTTGGAGGTTTCGGCTTCAGTTTTCGAGGCTGGATACTTAACAGCCGGGGATGGAATGGGAGTACATAGTCACTTAGCTAGTTTAGAAACTTAACCTGTCGCAAATCCTGCGCAGTTCAGTTGACATTCTGTTCTTTTCACTTGTAAAGATGTCACGGTAGTTATATGGCTATAGCCATATAAAGAGTCCATACTAATCCTTAGGCTGGGTGCTCTTACATTCGAGTCCGAATCAGAGCTTTACCAGGAAGCTTGCCATGACTAGGGCTGCTTTATACTCCAGATCTCTTCCAAAATGGAAGTACAACTAAGACACTGGTATTAAAGATATCGTACAAACCAAACTCCAAAGTACAAACCCAAGTCCATAAATTCGATGCTCCCGTCATATCCCAAATATCCTACTTCATACACAAAATTCCCAACCCACCGCATGCAATCCTCAACCAGAAACCCATAAGAAAACAAACTCCAACCGTCCTAGTCCCCAAAAGAACCCAATTCAAAGAACCCAATTCAAACCCATCTCCTAATCATGAACATCATTAATCTTCTTCCAAACCCCCTTCTCAACCTCCGCTAACTTATTCCCAGACCACCGTAGCCACCCCTTCGCCGCACCCATAAACCCCTCCTCCTCCTCCTCTTCAGGGAAGATACTACTCGCTCCACCACCAGACCCAGCCCCAGCCCCAGCACCGTAGTGCAGCGGCAGCGCCTGCGGACGATGCGATCCCGCCTGCGTCGGATACACAGACGAATAGGATGAGGTGGTCGAGTTCGGCAATGCAGTCTGCGCACCTAGGGGTGGGTTGTAGGAGTAGAATTGCGTGTAGCTTTGGGTTGGTTGGGTTGGAGGCTGGGAGATGGCTTCGCCGGCTTTCGGGGGTGGGGGGGATTGTAGAGGTTTGGGGTGCCGTCCCCGTGTATGCTGTTGATGGTGACGGGACGGCGCCGGGTTGGGGAGCGGGTGGAGTTTGCGTTGTGGATGTCGCTGTCTCGGGGGAGGTTGTTGGGGTTGTTGTTGCTGTTTGGGTAGGTTGTGCTGCTGTGGCGCCTGGCTGGGGTGGTACTGGTGCTGATTTTGGCTCGGCGGTCGTGTATATTGCGGGGTTGGAGGGAGCTGTGGCTGCTGCTGTGGTTGTTGCGGGTGCTGCTGGAGGTTGTGACGGTGCGCTTGCTGGTGGCTCGATTGCGGTGGCGGGTTCAGGCTGTGAGGCTGTTGCGTGTGTGCCTTCTCCCTCCTTGTTGGGGTTCACGGGCGCTGAATTGTAGGTTGGGATACCTGTTGGGGCAGACATTTTGGATGTTGATGCACCGATGTTTTGTGGGAAGGTTAAGTGTCAAGGGGAGTGAAGAGGTTTTGTAGCTTTGTAGCTTCGAGGAGCGAGCTTAGACGTCATTGCTATTGCCGCTGTGGAGCCTTGCCGCTTTGGGACTCCTTCTCTCCTTTTCTTTTTTTTTCTTTTTTTGGCTGTTGCCTGTGCTTCGATGCATTTTGTTTGAAATGTCAAAGGACGGCTGAAAGGTATTGGGGCTTAAATGGTTGATCATTTGCTGGCTGTTGTTTCAGCTATGAATATAGCTGAATATAGCTGAATGCATACAACATACATGAGCCAAGGGTCGAAATATCAGAAATTAACGAGGACAGGCTTAACTAGATACCTTGGTATAATTATTTACTTCCTACAATATTTCAAATGTTTACTAGGATCAAGTTCAAAAAACGAAAAAAAGAGTTTGCAGGCAGTAAAGTACATTGGGTACAAAAAGGGAAGAATTAGACCATTCTATGCTTCAAGATCCTTCGGACCCATTTCTTGACGCATCTATCTTTTGACCATCCCACATCCTCGGATTCCACGCCCAGTGGTTACACTGGGGGAGGTGTGCATCCCCTATTTCAGTATAACTACAGTGGCAAGAGACTCACGTTTCAGTGAATCGCTTAGAACTTCTTTCCGAGGAGGAGCATCTGGGCCTTGTCGTAGATGGACAGGACACCAGCACCGGCAACACCACGGAGGATGTTAGCACCGGCACCCTTGAAGAGAGACTTGACACCCTCCTTGGCGACGATCTGGCGGGCAGCATCCATGGAGCTCTTGTACTTGACGGCCTCACCAGAGGTCATCATCATGCGACGGCGAACGGTGTCAAGAGGGTAAGAGGCAACACCGGCACCGGTGGTGACGGTCCAGCCGAGCAGGAAGGAGGCGAGGAAAGAGCCCTCAAGAGGACCAACGAGGAGAACGGGCTTGATGGAGTCGTACATTCCGAAGTAGAGACCACGGTAGACAACAATTCCGAGAACGGAGGGACCGAAGCCACGGTAGAGACCGGCAATACCGTCGGTGGCGAGGGTCTTGCGGTAGACGTCAATGAGACCGTTGAACTGGCGCTCACCGGTACCCTTGGAGGACTTGGCGTCGTTGGCCAGACGGGTACGGGCGTAGTCCAGGGAGTAGACGAAGAGGAGGGAAGTAGCACCGGCAGCCTGGAGGTTTTGTTAGATGCGGTCCAAGCGCGAGAGGATTTTCAGATATACGTACACCACCGGAGGCAAGGTTACCCATCATCCACTTGGCGTATCCATCACGGTCCTTCTTGTAGGCAAACATGGACTTGTAGGTGTCGCGGAAAGCGAAGTTCAGGGCCTGGGTGGGGAAGTAACGGATGACGTTGGCGGTGTTACCACGCCACAAGGAGACAACACCCTCAGCGGCGGCGGTACGGCGGAAGCAGTCAACAATGCCGTTGTACTTGCGGTCGAGACGACCCTGCTTGAGCATCTCATCCTATTGATCGAATCTGGTTAGATTCTGAAGGCTTGGTGAAGATATGAAGCTGCCGAGTGTCACGGGCCAAGGGAGAAAAAATTTTTCACAAGCTGTGTTGATGCGAAAATACAGCTAGCGTCCAATATTGAACCTCACTGAATTGCGAATCACAACCAAGCATCGTCTTCTCCCTGTGGTCCACTCCAATGGCTGCTTGACGGGTGATAACCAACCTGGTTCTGGATCAGGAGCTTGATACGCTCAATGGGGGCAGCAGCGGTCTTGGAGACAGCGGCGGAAACACCACCCACTAATACACAGTCAGTATTGATATTCGAGACGTCATTGCAAGTAGCAATCGCTGATGATTGCAAGCATCAAGAATGACACGTACTCAGGAAGTCGACAACGAAGCCCTGTGAAAAGTTTGTTAGCATTGTTGCTCGGTTCAATTCACATTGAGATAGCGATGGCCGATCCTTGAAATCGCGCTTCGAAACAAATTCGATGATAATTCGATGAAGATCTCATCGCTTTGGATCTTTAACGCGACATCGAGGCCAGCTCTCACAGCCTCATAGGGAGATACTCACGGGCATGCCGAGGACCGACTTCTCGGCCTGGTTAACATCACCACCGGAACCCATTTTGAAGATAGTGCAAAAGAAACGGGATGCAAAAAAAAAGAGAGGAGATGGAAAGAGTGTCAAGAAGAAAGAGACACCAGGGATAATGAGGAAGAAAAAGGAAGAGAGAAGGCGGGAAGGGGGGCCAGAAAAAAAAATACTCGACCGCCGGGCGCTAAAACCCAATCAGGAAGCCCAGGGGGTTAAATTACCGTATATTACGGTTATTCTGCTGTATTGTTTTGCCTCCTGCCGATATCTCCCGATCCACTGAAAATTCTGCAATCTGGCCTGGTCTGGATATTTGGGGTCTGCTATGGGTGTATGGGGGTCTTTTTGGTCTTTGAAATGGGCCTGTCTCTGTCTATAATACAGCAGGCTATCAATCCACTCTGTTGTCTGTGGAAATTATTCAACATCCTATTCTTTTCACTGTGGTAATCGACATCCTGTAGTCCCGTGCAACGGCCCAAGCGCCGGTCCATAGTACCGTAGGGGTACGGTGTATATTTCCCTGTCCAATGCCGAGCCTCCACTCCCCGGGGCAACCTCCTTTTCGCTGGCCGGGTATCCGATGGCGAACCGGGCATAAAAATTATATCTCGGACTTGCCACCGACGTGGCTATTCCTTTCTATGTTGTATGTTTTCTTGGGCTGAGGTGATTTCGAACGTGTAGCTCTTGATTAGTTGGCCATTTAAACTTGAGCCCAAAGCACCCGATGTTACTACTAGTATGTGTCCTCCGTATATGTAGTAGCCTTTGTTTGTCCTCGGGCGAGTGGATTCTCCCCAGGTCTCCTCAACGCCCACTAATCCATCTTATTCCTTATTTTGAATCCTTCCTGGTGAGATGATCTAGAGCATTGGAGCGTAAACAACCCAATTGAGCAAATGTGATCCCAAGTCTTGCGATAATACTCCGTACGCGGCACTGCGATATGTGAGGATACCTGGACTTTGATATGAGACATTTTTTCCTTGTTATTATTTTTATGTCGCGGGTACAAACTTTAAGGTGACGGATCACCGCATGGACGAAGTACCTGGGTACTTCACATGCTAAACAATGTCAGGTACCCAATAGTAGAGCACTGGCTCCACTTTGCTTGCCCAGGTAGTTCTGAAGGAAATTTGTCTGTACGGAGCGCTCCGTACGTTCAAGCCATTTCAACCTATGTTGTAGGTTATAATCAATGGCAGTATTAGGAGCTTCCTATAGCTACCTATGTAGCTTAGAATCAAAATTTCCCGAGGTTCGCCCCAGCAACCGCTAGCGCCTGAGTGGGCCCGCATCGCATGGGAGCTTTCCGCTTTGGGAGCTACAGAGTTCTACAGGTATGTATATAGGCCTGAAAGCAAACAGATTGCGAGAAGGCCGTTCTCGATAGGATTTTCAGGATTTGTAGTAGCCGTGATATCACTGGGTAATTACTAGGCTGCAAACTAAACATGTATGCAATTGGTGTTTTATGTCACGTCGCAAAGAGGCTTCAAATATATATTCCCAAAATACAATGACCCAGCATTTCCCCAATTTGTCCATTTGCAAGTGCCTTTTTCTTATATATTTTTTTTTTCCAGCTGCACCTTGTTCATCCCAATATAGCTATTTACAGCTAAGACATATATCACAAGGAACCGATCTAATGTGGCAGTGTAGGCATTTCAATTTAGAAGGGAATAGATCTTGGTTCGTTTCATAAATTGATCCGAAAAAGCTATGAACAATGGTAGATCGACAGACGCAACTCGTCTAATGCTTCTTCGACCTCTTTCTCTTCTTACGTGTGCCATCCCCTTCTCTGATATCAACCTTATCCTCATCAACAGCCTCCTTGGGTTGGCTAGGTTGGGCATCGCCACCGAACTTGAACACAGGCCCATTCTCATCACCGAAGGTGTCCTTGCGCCACTCGCGAAGCCGGGCCTTCTTGCCCAGCTTCTTCTGATCGCGCCGCTTCTGCTCTTCTTCGCGGAAGGTGGCCAGCTTCTTCAGACCAGCGAACTTGTTGAGCTGTGTGTCGTCCGCCATGAGGATATCCCGTGCTGTCAAGCCAAAGCTCTGCGGTGAGGTTTCGCGGTAGCGGAACTTTGTGGCGTTCTTCTTTGTAGCTCCGGGAAGCAAGGTGATGTCGAGATCCAGGTTGCGCTCAACTGCGTCTTCAATACGAAGACGGTCTTTGCGCGCCTCACGTTTCTGGATCCGCTTCTCTTCAGCCTTGCTCTTCTTCTTAGACCCGGAAGCTTCGTCGTCATCTTCATCTTCGGCTTCTGATAGTTCGAGTGTGGGCTGCTCTTCTTCATCCTCGTAGTCTGGGATCAAGTCCTTGATATCGATATCATCATCCCATGTAGGCTTCTTAGGAAGCTTCTTCTTCTTGCCTCCCTCATTTTCGCTGTCTCCGGCTTCCTCCCCGGCGTAATACTCCTCGCCAAACCGTTTTTGCATCTCTGCTTCCCAGTTTGAGTCGTCCCAGGAAGCGTCCAGGAAACGTGACCAATCCTCGTCCGTGAACTTTGAGGCACGAAGTCCCGCAACCTCTTTAATTTGCTCCACCTTTTTCTGGAGTTCCTCAGTCTTCAGTTTGCGGAGACGATTCTTCTCAGTTTCGCGCTGCTTCTTCTCCTCCTCCTTAAGTGCGCGCTCGGCGTCGCGAAGCTTCTTACGGGCACTCTTTTCTTCCCGGCGGACGGATTGCTTGTTGGTGAGATCACGAGAGTGTGTAACTATCACCTCGTTCATCTTGTTGGGGTCCTCGAAGCGGAAGTTGTATGCTTCTTCAATAGCTTCCGCCCGATCGACATCGTCATCCTCATCCGAATCGAACGGATGCAGCTCTTGCTTGTCGGTGGGAATCCAGGCTCGTGCTGACAAGAAGTTGGACAGGAA